CCAGGTACTCACAACACACCAGGTACTCACAGTACTCCAGGTACTCACAGTACTCCAGGTACTCACAGTACTCCAGGTACTCACAGTACTCCAGGTACTCACAACACACCAGGTACTCACAACACACCAAGTACTCACAGTACACCAGGTACTCACAACACACCAGGTACTCACAGTACTCCAGGTACTCACAACACACTAGGTACTCACAACACACCAGGTACTCACAACACACCAGGTACTCACAGTACTCCAGGTACTCACAGTACTCCAGGTACTCACAGTACTCCAGGTACTCACAGTACTCCAGGTACTCACAACACACCAGGTACTCACAACACACCAGGTACTCACAGTACTCCAGGTACTCACAGTACACCAGGTATTCACAGTACTAGAGGTACTCACAGTACTCCAGGTACTCACAGTACTCCAGGTACTCACAGTACTCCAGGTACTCACAGTACTCCAGGTACTCACAGTACTCCAGGTACTCACAGTACTCCAGGTACTCACAGTACTCCAGGTACTCACAACACACGAGGTACTCACAACACACGAGGTACTCACAGTACTCCAGGTACTCACAGTACTCCAGGTACTCACAGTACTCCAGGTACTCACAGTACTCCAGGTACTCACAGTACTCCAGGTACTCACAGTACTCCAGGTACTCACAACACACCAGGTACTCACAGTACTCCAGGTACTCACAGTACTCTAGGTACTCACAGTACTCCAGGTACTCACAGTACTCCAGGTACTCACAGTACTCCAGGTACTCACAACACACCAGGTACTCACAACACACCAAGTACTCACAGTACACCAGGTACTCACAACACACCAGGTACTCACAGTACTCCAGGTACTCACAACACACTAGGTACTCACAACACACCAGGTACTCACAACACACCAGGTACTCACAGTACTCCAGGTACTCACAGTACTCCAGGTACTCACAGTACTCCAGGTACTCACAGTACTCCAGGTACTCACAACACACCAGGTACTCACAGTACACCAGGTACTCACAACACACCAGGTACTCACAGTACACCAGGTACTCACAACACACTAGGTACTCACAACACACCAGGTACTCACAACACACCAGGTACTCACAGTACTCCAGGTACTCACAGTACTCCAGGTACTCACAGTACTCCAGGTACTCACAGTACTCCAGGTACTCACAGTACTCCAGGTTCTCACAGTACTCCAGGTACTCACAGTACTCCAGGTACTCACAACACACCAGGTACTCACAACACACGAGGTACTCACAACACTCCAGGTACTCACAGTACTCCAGGTACTCACAGTACTCCAGGTACTCACAGTACTCCAGGTACTCACAGTACTCCAGGTACTCACAACACACCAGGTACTCACAGTACTCCAGGTACTCACAGTACTCCAGGTACTCACAGTACTCCAGGTACTCACAGTACTCCAGGTACTCACAGTACTCCAGGTACTCACAACACACCAGGTACTCACAACACACCAAGTACTCACAGTACACCAGGTACTCACAACACACCAGGTACTCACAGTACTCCAGGTACTCACAACACACTAGGTACTCACAACACACCAGGTACTCACAACACACCAGGTACTCACAGTACTCCAGGTACTCACAGTACTCCAGGTACTCACAGTACTCCAGGTACTCACAGTACTCCAGGTACTCACAACACACCAGGTACTCACAACACACCAGGTACTCACAGTACTCCAGGTACTCACAGTACACCAGGTATTCACAGTACTAGAGGTACTCACAGTACTCCAGGTACTCACAGTACTCCAGGTACTCACAGTACTCCAGGTACTCACAGTACTCCAGGTACTCACAGTACTCCAGGTACTCACAGTACTCCAGGTACTCACAACACACGAGGTACTCACAACACACGAGGTACTCACAGTACTCCAGGTACTCACAGTACTCCAGGTACTCACAGTACTCCAGGTACTCACAGTACTCCAGGTACTCACAGTACTCCAGGTACTCACAGTACTCCAGGTACTCACAACACACCAGGTACTCACAGTACTCCAGGTACTCACAGTACTCTAGGTACTCACAGTACTCCAGGTACTCACAGTACTCCAGGTACTCACAGTACTCCAGGTACTCACAACACACCAGGTACTCACAACACACCAAGTACTCACAGTTCACCAGGTACTCACAACACACCAGGTACTCACAGTACTCCAGGTACTCACAACACACTAGGTACTCACAACACACCAGGTACTCACAACACACCAGGTACTCACAGTACTCCAGGTACTCACAGTACTCCAGGTACTCACAGTACTCCAGGTACTCACAGTACTCCGGGTACTCACAACACACCAGGTACTCACAACACACCAGGTACTCACAGTACTCCAGGTACTCACAGTACACCAGATATTCACAGTACTCCAGGTTCTCACAGTACTCCAGGTACTCACAGTACTCCAGGTACTCACAGTACTCCAGGTACTCACAGTACTCCAGGTACTCACAGTGCTCCAGGTACTCACAGTACTCCAGGTACTCACAGTACTCCAGGTACTCACAACACACGAGGTACTCACAACACACGAGGTACTCACAGTACTCCAGGTACTCACAGTACTCCAGGTACTCACAGTACTCCAGGTACTCACAGTACTCCAGGTACTCACAGTACTCCAGGTACTCACAGTACTCCAGGTACTCACAGTACTCCAGGTACTCACAACACACCAGGTACTCACAGTACTCCAGGTACTCACAGTACTCTAGGTACTCACAGTACTCCAGGTACTCACAGTACTCCAGGTACTCACAGTACTCCAGGTACTCACAACACACCAGGTACTCACAACACACCAAGTACTCACAGTACACCAGGTACTCACAACACACCAGGTACTCACAGTACTCCAGGTACTCACAACACACTAGGTACTCACAACACACCAGGTACTCACAACACACCAGGTACTCACAGTACTCCAGGTACTCACAGTACTCCAGGTACTCACAGTACTCCAGGTACTCACAGTACTCCGGGTACTCACAACACACCAGGTACTCACAACACACCAGGTACTCACAGTACTCCAGGTACTCACAGTACACCAGGTATTCACAGTACTCCAGGTTCTCACAGTACTCCAGGTACTCACATTACTCCAGGTACTCACAGTACTCCAGGTACTCACAGTACTCCAGGTACTCACAGTACTCCAGGTACTCACAGTACTCCAGGTACTCACAGTACTCCAGGTACTCACAGTACTCCAGGTACTCACAACACACCAGGTACCCACAACATACCAGGTACTGGCAGTACACCAGGTACTCACAGTACTCCAGGTACTCACAACACACCAGGTACTCACAGTACACCAGGTACTCACAACACACCAGGTACTCACAGTACACCAGGTACTCACAACACACTAGGTACTCACAACACACCAGGTACTCACAACACACCAGGTACTCACAACACACCAGGTACTCACAGTACTACAGGTACTCACAGTACTCCAGGTACTCACAGTACTCCAGGTACTCACAGTACTCCAGGTACTCACAGTACTCCAGGTACTCACAGTACTCCAGGTACTCACAACACACCAGGTACTCACAACACACCAGGTACTCACAGTACTCCAGGTACTCACAGTACTCCAGGTACTCACAGTACTCCAGGTACTCACAGTACTCCAGGTACTCACAGTACTCCAGGTACTCACAGTACTCCAGGTACTCACAGTACTCCAGGTACTCACAACACACCAGGTACTCACAACACACGAGGTACTCACAACACTCCAGGTACTCACAGTACTCCAGGTACTCACAGTACTCCAGGTACTCACAGTACTCCAGGTACTCACAGTACTCCAGGTACTCACAACACACCAGGTACTCACAGTACTCCAGGTACTCACAGTACTCCAGGTACTCACAGTACTCCAGGTACTCACAGTACTCCAGGTACTCACAGTACTCCAGGTACTCACAACGCACCAGGTACTCACAACACACCAAGTACTCACAGTACACCAGGTACTCACAACACACCAGGTACTCACAGTACTCCAGGTACTCACAGTACTCCAGGTACTCACAGTACTCCAGGTACTCACAGTACTCCAGGTACTCACAGTACTCCAGGTACTCACAGTACTCCAGGTACTCACAGTACTCCAGGTACTCACAACACACCAGGGTACTCACAGTACTCCAGGTACTCACAGTACTCCAGGTACTCACAGTACTCCAGGTACTCACAGTACTCCAGGTACTCACAGTACTCCAGGTACTCACAGTACTCCAGGTACTCACAGTACTCCAGGTACTCACAGTACTCCAGGTACTCACAGTACTCCAGGTACTCACAGTACTCCAGGTACTCACAACACACCAGGGTACTCACAGTACTCCAGGTACTCACAGTACTCCAGGTACTCACAGTACTCCAGGTACTCACAGTACTCCAGGTACTCACAGTACTCCAGGTACTCACAGTACTCCAGGTACTCACAGTACTCCAGGTACTCATAGTACTCCAGGTACTCACAGTACTCCAGGTACTCACAGTACTCCAGGTACTCACAGTACTCCAGGTACTCACAACACACCAGGTACTCACAGTACTCCAGGTACTCACAATACTCCAGGTACTCACAGTACTCCAGGTACTCACAGTACTGCAGGTACTCACAACGCACCAGGTACTCACAGTACTCCAGGTACTCACAATACTCCAGGTACTCACAGTACTCCAGGTACTCACAGTACTCCAGGTACTCACAGTACTCCAGGTACTCACAGTACTCCAGGTACTCACAGTACTCCAGGTACTCACAGTACTCCAGGTACTCACAGTACTCCAGGTACTCACAGTACTCCAGGTACTCACAACACACCAGGTACTCACAACACACCAGGTACTCACAACACACCAGGTACTCACAGTACTCCAGGTACTCACTGCGTTGATGTAGTTGAAGAGAGAGGATCCGTCACCCCAAGGCGTCTCGCTCTCACAGGAGAGGTTGGCCAGACTGAGCGTGGCCGAGCGCTCAAGCGCGTGCAGACCCTTAGCGAACACGCCCACGCTGTCGTAGATGAGCGCCGGCTCCGCCTGCGGTGGAGAGGACTGGTTGAGCGGCTGTTTTTAAGGTGAGTGGCTGTTTTTGGGTCAAGTGGCTGTTTTGGGTCGAGTGGCTGTTCTGGGGCGAGTGGCTGTTTTGGGGTCGAGTGGCTGTTTTGGGGTCGAGTGGCTGTTCTGGGGCGAGTGGCTGTTTTGGGGTCGAGTGGCTGTTTTTGGGTCGAGTGCCTGTTTTGGGTCAAGTGGCTGTTTTGGGGTCGAGTGGCTGTTTTTGGGTCAAATGGCTGTTTTGGGTCAAGTGGATGTTTTTGGGTCGAGTGGCTGTTTTTGGGTCGAGTGGCTGTTTTGGGGTCGAGTGGCTGTTTTTGGGTCAAATGGCTGTTTTGGGTCAAGTGGCTGTTTTTGGGTCGAGTGGCTGTTTTTGGGTCGAGTGGCTGTTTTTGGGTCGAGTGGCTGTTTTTGGGTCAAGTGGCTGTTTTGGGGTCGAGCGGCTGTTTTTGGGTCGAGTGGCTGTTTTTGGGTCGAGTGGCTGTTTTTGGGTCGAGTGGCTGTTTTGGGGTCGAGTGGTTGTTTTTGGGTCGAGTGGCTGTTTTTGGGTCGAGTGGCTTTTTTGGGTCGAGTGGCTGTTTTGGGGTCGAGTGGCTGTTTTGGGGTCGAGTGGTTGTTTTTGGGTCGAGTGGCTGTTTTGGGGTCGAGTGGTTGTTTTTGGGTCGAGTGGCTGTTTTTTGGTCAAGTGGCTGTTTTGGGGTCGAGTGGCTGTTTTTGGGTCGAGTGGCTGTTTTGGGGTCGAGTGGTTGTTTTGGGGTCAAATGGCTGTTTTGGGTCAAGTGGCTGTTTTTGGGTCGAGTGGCTGTTTTTGGGTCGAGTGGCTGTTTTTGGTCAAGTGGCTGTTTTGGGGTCTAGTGGCTGTTTTTGGTCAAGTGGCTGTTTTGGGGTCTAGTGGCTGTTTTTGGTCAAGTGGCTGTTTTTGGGTCGAGTGGCTGTTTTTGGTCAAGTGGCTGTTTTTGGGTCTAGTGGCTGTTTTTGGTCAAGTGGCTGTTTTGGGGTCTAGTGGCTGTTTTTGGGTCGAGTGGCTGTTTTTGGGTCGAGTGGCTGTTTTTGGGGCAGGTTCATTAGTGGGTGTAATGTTACACAGCAGTTTGGGCAGATATATAAACAATACATATATTATATATATATATATATATATATATATATATATATATATATATATATATATATATATATATATATATATATATATATATAATTTTAAGATGAATAGGAAAACCAGGGATATACTGAACATCTTGTTTCAGATTCTTTACTTTAAAAAACATAACGTTTCGAATATTTCTCGTATTCATCATCAGATCTAAAAGAAAAAACAGAAATCACAATGAAATAACTGGTAAACAAAGAACTCACACTTCTACTTAAATCGCCCTTTAGCTGATCTATTAGAAATGGATCTAAGTTATATAGACCACTGCTAATATTCAAATTACTTTCTTTGGTGATCTGTATCAAAGCAGATTCAATTATGTTTCTGTTATAGGTGCTTTTACAATTTGTTATTGAAGAAGCACTCTCCCAATCAAGTATTGTACCTCACCTTACTTCACCACTCCTTCCTGCCTATTTATACCCATCACTCGATCTGTAAAATGACCTTCTGAAGATGTATTTAATATACGAAAGTACTTAAGGAAATTTCCTGTTTCATTTTTCCTCCGTGGTCTGACATTGTCATATATATATAGATATATATATATATATATATATATATATATATATATATATATATATATATATATATATATATATATATATCATCCATATTCTTGTGGTTGATATAAGAATATGGGTGATATAATTATAAGGATGATATAAGAATATGGAAGAATGCCTTCCACTCCTTGACCAGAGTGGAGGTACTCCTTGACCAGAGTGGAGGTACTCCTTGACCAGAGTGGAGGTACTCCTTGACCAGAGTGGAGGTACTCCTTGACCAGAGTGGAGGTACTCCTTGACCAGAGTAGAGGTACTCCTTGACCAGAGTGGAGGTACTCCTTGACCAGAGTGGAGGTACTCCTTGACCAGAGTGGAGGTACTCCTTGACCAGAGTGGAGGTACTCCTTGACCAGAGTGGAGGTACTCCTTGACCAGAGTGGAGGTACTCCTTGACCAGAGTGGAGGTACTCCTTGACCAGAGTGGAGGTACTCCTTGACCAGAGTGGAGGTACTCCTTGACCAGAGTGGAGGTACTCCTTGACCAGAGTGGAGGTACTCCTTGACCAGAGTGGTGGTACTCCTTGACCAGAGTGGTGGTACTCCTTGACCAGAGTGGAGGTACTCCTTGACCAGAGTGGAGGTACTCCTTGACCAGAGTGGTGGTACTCCTTGACCAGAGTGGTGGTACTCCTTGACCAGAGTGGAGGTACTCCTTGACCAGAGTGGTGGTACTCCTTGACCAGAGTGGAGGTACTCCTTGACCAGAGTGGTGGTACTCCTTGACCAGAGTGGAGGTACTCCTTGACCAGAGTGGAGGTACTCCTTGACCAGAGTGGAGGTACTCCTTGACCAGAGTGGAGGTACTCCTTGACCAGAGTGGAGGTACTCCTTGACCAGAGTGGAGGTACTCCTTGACCAGAGTGGAGGTACTCCTTGACCAGAGTGGTGGTACTCCTTGACCAGAGTGGTGGTACTCCTTGACCAGAGTGGAGGTACTCCTTGACCAGAGTGGAGGTACTCCTTGACCAGAGTGGTGGTACTCCTTGACCAGAGTGGAGGTACTCCTTGACCAGAGTGGAGGTACTCCTTGACCAGAGTGGTGGTACTCCTTGACCAGAGTGGTGGTACTCCTTGACCAGAGTGGTGGTACTCCTTGACCAGAGTGGAGGTACTCCTTGACCAGAGTGGTGGTACTCCTTGACCAGAGTGGAGGTACTCCTTGACCAGAGTGGAGGTACTCCTTGACCAGAGTGGAGGTACTCCTTGACCAGAGTGGAGGTACTCCTTGACCAGAGTGGAGGTACTCCTTGACCAGAGTGGAGGTACTCCTTGACCAGAGTGGTGGTACTCCTTGACCAGAGTGGTGGTACTCCTTGACCAGAGTGGAGGTACTCCTTGACCAGAGTGGAGGTACTCCTTGACCAGAGTGGTGGTACTCCTTGACCAGAGTGGTGGTACTCCTTGACCAGAGTGGAGGTACTCCTTGACCAGAGTGGTGGTACTCCTTGACCAGAGTGGAGGTACTCCTTGACCAGAGTGGAGGTACTCCTTGACCAGAGTGGTGGTACTCCTTGACCAGAGTGGTGGTACTCCTTGACCAGAGTGGTGGTACTCCTTGACCAGAGTGGAGGTACTCCTTGACCAGAGTGGTGGTACTCCTTGACCAGAGTGGAGGTACTCCTTGACCAGAGTGGTGGTAGAGTGGTGGTACTCCTTGACCAGAGTGGTGGTACTCCTTGACCAGAGTGGAGGTACTCCTTGACCAGAGTGGTGGTACTCCTTGACCAGAGTGGTGGTACTCCTTGACCAGAGTGGAGGTACTCCTTGACCAGAGTGGTGGTACTCCTTGACCAGAGTGGTGGTACTCCTTGACCAGAGTGGAGGTACTCCTTGACCAGAGTGGTGGTACTCCTTGACCAGAGTGGTGTACTCCTTGACTCCTTGACCAGAGTGGTGGTACTCCTTGACCAGAGTGGAGGTACTCCTTGACCAGAGTGGTGGTACTCCTTGACCAGAGTGGTGGTACTCCTTGACCAGAGTGGAGGTACTCCTTGACCAGAGTGGTGGTACTCCTTGACCAGAGTGGTGGTACTCCTTGACCAGAGTGGAGGTACTCCTTGACCAGAGTGGTGGTACTCCTTGACCAGAGTGGTGGTACTCCTTGACCAGAGTGGAGGTACTCCTTGACCAGAGTGGTGGTACTCCTTGACCAGAGTGGAGGTACTCCTTGACCAGAGTGGTGGTACTCCTTGACCAGAGTGGTGGTACTCCTTGACCAGAGTGGTACTCCTTGACCAGAGTGGTGGTACTCCTTGACCAGAGTGGAGGTACTCCTTGACCAGAGTGGTGGTACTCCTTGACCAGAGTGGAGGTACTCCTTGACCAGAGTGGTGGTACTCCTTGACCAGAGTGGTGGTACTCCTTGACCAGAGTGGTGGTACTCCTTGACCAGAGTGGAGGTACTCCTTGACCAGAGTGGTGGTACTCCTTGACCAGAGTGGAGGTACTCCTTGACCAGAGTGGTGGTACTCCTTGACCAGAGTGGAGGTACTCCTTGACCAGAGTGGAGGTACTCCTTGACCAGAGTGGAGGTACTCCTTGACCAGAGTGGAGGTACTCCTTGACCAGAGTGGTGGTACTCCTTGACCAGAGTGGAGGTACTCCTTGACCAGAGTGGTGGTACTCCTTGACCAGAGTGGTGGTACTCCTTGACCAGAGTGGTGGTACTCCTTGACCAGAGTGGTGGTACTCCTTGACCAGAGTGGAGGTACTCCTTGACCAGAGTGGTGGTACTCCTTGACCAGAGTGGAGGTACTCCTTGACCAGAGTGGTGGTACTCCTTGACCAGAGTGGTGGTACTCCTTGACCAGAGTGGTGGTACTCCTTGACCAGAGTGGTGGTACTCCTTGACCAGAGTGACCAGAGTGGAGGTACTCCTTGACCAGAGTGGTGGTACTCCTTGACCAGAGTGGAGGTACTCCTTGACCAGAGTGGTGGTACTCCTTGACCAGAGTGGAGGTACTCCTTGACCAGAGTGGTGGTACTCCTTGACCAGAGTGGAGGTACTCCTTGACCAGAGTGGAGGTACTCCTTGACCAGAGTGGTGGTACTCCTTGACCAGAGTGGTGGTACTCCTTGACCAGAGTGGTGGTACTCCTTGACCAGAGTGGAGGTACTCCTTGACCAGAGTGGTGGTACTCCTTGACCAGAGTGGTGGTACTCCTTGACCAGAGTGGTGGTACTCCTTGACCAGAGTACTCCTTGACCAGAGTGGTGGTACTCCTTGACCAGAGTGGTGGTACTCCTTGACCAGAGTGGAG